TCTCTCCTTGCTGCCAAATGTGGGAATTGTGTGAGGGCTGTGGTAGATGAGGCTGGTGAGGCACCACAGGAGAATATTTTTATTTACAGCTACAACATCCTGCATGTTTCCAGGCAGGGCAGCTACAAGCTGTTCTCAGGTGGTGTTTGCAGCAGGTTACAGGGTTAATGGTACAGAAACCAACAATTTATGTTGAAAATACACATTTGTATCACAAACTATGAACTATTTAAAGCCTCCAAGACATCTACCAATGCCCGGTTTGTGCTCTAAGAACAAATCCTTGCATGTACAAAAACCACTGTCACAAAGCTGCAATTCTATTATTAATGTAGAAATTCATGCTGGAATTTAACAATCCACCTAGAGACAATATCAAGGGAAAAGAAGAACTGAAAATTTCCTGGCATGCTTTCTAATCTGAAAATAACAAGCTACTCTTTAAAAATATGTGCTTGGGAATAAATAATTTATTAGTATTGCTTAGCAGTAAGTGCATCTATTGCTTTGATTTCATCCACTAATATAAGCTCAGTAAAAACCTCAATTCATGGCTTTTTCTGTATTTTAAAACATTTGGTGTTATTTAGGTTATTAGTACCATTGTGGTTTAGGGATAAAAAAAGAAATAGGTTGTGAAGTAATGTTGGGACTACAAGGAAGCTTTTGTTAATATTGCAAAGAAAAAATAAACCCACATCCCTGGAAGAAAAAGACAGCTTTGATCATCTGAAAAATCAAAAATATCCTTTTGGAACAGGTACCCTGGTAATGATATGCACGGAGTGTTCACTCACCCAGACCCCTGTGTTGGCTAATTATGGTAATTACAGCACTGTGGTACAAGTTTTTGACAGCTGTGTTGGCAGGGCTGTGGAATTGCCTCTGTGTGAAACTCCTCTGAAAGAAGACATTCCCATGGAGTTTGGGATTTGAAAAGTAATTCTCCACAGAATGGTGCTATTTCATGTTTTCCTTCCAAATTGGGATGAAAATATTGTCAAAATACTGAGACTGTGCTCAGAACTGACAAGGGAGAAGGTTATTCCCTCTTTGTCTGTTTATAATTCTCCCTGCAGCTGCATTTCTGAAGTTTTCCAAAGCGTTTGTGTTTGCAGGAGGCTCCGCCTGTCCCTTCCTTCCCAAAGATCCCCAGAGGAAGATCCTGTGGGAGCTTCCCCAGCTCCTGCTGGGCTCAGGGACAGTTCTGGGGGGAACCAGCCTGTGCCACTGCTGCCAGCTGCTCTGCCCTGCCACTGCCTTCCCTGGCCCTCAGACCCACCCTGCACAGAGGGCTGGAGTTGCTCTGCCTTCTTCCCAATGCTCACAGAATGGCATTTCCCAGAGACTTCCAGAGATTTCCAGAGATTTCCAGGGTCTTTACCCAGCTGAGTGCTGTGCATTCAGAGCTGCTTCTTTGTCAGAATCTGAGGTATTGATGATCCTGAGATTGTAGAAAGTCTCTGTCTGTCAGCCCCGCTGCCAAAGAAGAAGTCATAACTGGTCTGTGCTGGTTTCCAGGTGGTTTATTCTGTTTATCTCTCACATGTTCTGCTGCCCTGCCCAGCTCTGTCCTGCAGGGCAGCGTGTGGGGCTCTGCCCTCAGTGGGATGTTACAAACATTCAATACCAGAAACTCCCTGGGCTGGATTTACAAGAACGTGCCAATATCTGTCACCTACGTTGGACAGTGTGTCCCCAGCCTGAACCAACAGAAAAATGCCAACACCACAGTGAGACATGGAGGGCATGAAGAAGGAGAAAAAGGACGGGACACACCCAATTTCCTCCATCTTGTCCCCTTTGTACCCCTCATCTAGAATCCTAAAATTTTACTTTTGCACCCATGCCACACTTAATTATTCCTTATATCAAACACTCAGAGCTGGTAATTCATGCTGTAAGGTTGAAAACTCTTTTCCATGGACAGAGATCACAGCCAGTGTCTCTGGGGGCTCTGTCCAGGGGGTTCCTGACCCCTGCCAGGGTCCCAGACCTGCCAGGGAGCCAGAGGGAAGCCCTGGGTTCCCACAGGGTTTGACCAGGGAAAAGATGGAAGCTCGGTTTAAGCTCTCAGGAGGGGTTGGTTCAATATCCGTAACTGGAGGGATTTTTTCAGCTGCATGGCAAAACCTTCTGTGTATCTGAGAGCAGAGGGAATGTGCTAAGCATGAAGGTAAGGGAACTGCCTGTAGCTGAAAAACAGGTATTTTAGGTGGTGTGCTTGGTGTGCATGGCCTCCCTAAAGCTGCAGGGTCAAAGGCTGATAACTGATCTCTACACTCAAGAGTCCAAAACAACATTACTGGTAATTCTTTGTACAGCACAGCTGCTAGCAACGAGCTCTGACAACTCTTGTTATCAACAGCCAGGTGAAAAATCACGCTGGCTTTTCATCAGCAGCCCTGCTTGCTGGGGAAAATGGCTTTTTTAAAGTTTTACACAATTTTTGCATCAGCTGAGGTTCCTTTTTTTCAATGAGAAACTGCATTTTCTCATGCTGGCCTGTAACCTGTCCCAGAATTTTGTTCATGGCTCTCTCCTCTGTGTGCTACTCTGAGGAGGTCAAGATCTCTTGGCACAGTGACATATTTTAGTCTATAAAACATTTCAAGCTCAAATACAAAATATTATCACACCCATGTTGTTCCAGAGAGAAATCATGCTGGCTTTTCATCAGCAGCCTTGCTTGCTGGGGAAAATGGCTTTTTTTAAAGTTTTACACAATTTTTGCATCAGCTGAGGTTCCTTTTTTCAATGAGAAACTGCATTTTCTCAGGATTAAAAACTTTGTAATAATCATAAATTTTTCATCAGCCTCTCACCACTAAGCATTGAAATATTAAGCAGCTTCAAAACTCATGGGGAGTGCTCTCTATTTTCTGGTTTTTGCTGTACCCTCTCCCCTCATGGTCGAGCTCACATGGCTCTTCCCAGGTACCTTTCTGCAGCTGTTTAATCCCTCTGAATTCCTGTTACATTGGGAGTCTCCTCAATCTGTTTAACCTTCCCCTGCTCCTTGCCTGGATGCATTTCCTGCATGTGCATGTTATTTTATCTGGCCTGTTCTCAGATTTTATCCAGCCTGATTGGAGATTTCTGAGCATTTACTAGAGGTGGGGGGGAGCCTGGGCATAGATTGTGTTAGGAATGGCACAGAACTGGAGGGCAGTGTCAGCTGTGTGAGCTGTCAGGCTTCTCCTGCTGATTTCCACAGCCTCGGGATGCTGTTGGTGCTGAATGTGGTTTTCTGGGGGACCAACACCTCCTGCTTTCCCATGCCTGGCACTTCTGGGTGGCTGCAGCTGTGGCTGCAGCATCTTCTGCTCTGAGCTTCTCTCCTGAGTGCAGGGACCCAGACTAGTGACTTCTTATCCTGCACTGAGTACAGAACCCTGAGCACTGATTGCTGCTAAAATACTAACTGAGCAATGGAAACCAAGTGGAATTTAAGAAAAATCCCAAACCAAAAACACCACAAAAAACCCTTCCCCCCCAAAAAAATTAAGTGTGCATGGAGCACTAGTAGTAAAATTTTATGGTGAACTTCAGGAATCTGACATGGATAAACCCAGTTTAATTTGTGTCTAGCTGCTGTTTGTGTCAGCAAGCTATTTAGTGAAAAGATGAATTTAGAATTGTCTGTAGAAAACTCCTCTGCACAGTCTGTGTTGTTTTGGAGTGCTCTTTCAAGCCATGCACACGTTCAGACCAGCCTGGGATTTCTGAACTGCCCCTCTGGATGTAGCCAGGGCTGGATGTGTTTGGAGTGTCAGAGTCACCCTTCAGGTGCCTGAGGCTTTTCCCTGGTGGGGGATGGCAACAGCTCTCCAACCTTCCAGGAGGTTTAATCAGGGACTTGATTCAAAAGCTAAATAACAGAGGAGAAGGGAAAGAAGGGCTGCTACCCCAGGGAGGATGTCAGGGAATTCTGCAGAGAAGGGACTGCACCCCTGAGCTGTTTGTGGCAGTGAGTGGAGCTGATGGATGCTGAGGAGATGATGGATGGTGTCATGGAAACTTTCACTCCCTGGCAATTTCTCATGTCCCAATAAAAACACCCACAGCTAATTTAAGCCAGACTTAAATCAATCTTTTACCATCATCATTTGTTTCCAAGAGAGAGTGAGCAATTTACTATCTGTTCTTCCTAACAGCTTCCAAAAATCATTTCAAGTGGGGGATTTGCTGGACTCAGAAGCAAATGATCACCTCTCTAATCCCAGCAATGCAAAGATCAGTCAATGTGCCTGAGCACCCGGGCTGGTGGAGCTGGGCCAGCCTGAGGGATGGGAAGGGTCTGATGCTCTCTGTTTTTCTCTGTAGACCTCTGCTCATCCTCACTGGTCCTGTCAGTCCCTGTGGCAGGGGCACCCCAGCTCCTGCCTGCTGTGCCTCCTCTGGCAGATCCCACTGCTCATGGCTCCCACCAGCTCCCAGGAGGGAGAGCAGGACCACAGAGTGACTAAAGGATTGGGTGGGGGGGGGGTTAAAAGAGTAAATCAGGGAGTAAATCAGAGAGCTGGGTTTGTGAGGAGGAGGAATTACTGTGGGCAATGTCTGTGCTGGGGCTCGGCGTGGGGCAGCAAGAGATCAGATCCTCACAACACTTCACGTGTCTGAGTCACCTCAGACAATTTCTGGTGCTTTCACTCTTGCCAGAACATGGATTTCTTAGGAAAGGAAAGGAAAGGAAAGGAAAGGAAAGGAAAGGAAAGGAAAGGAAAGGAAAGGAAAGGAAAGGAAAGGAAAGGAAAGGAAAGGA